ATGGATCTGATATGATAATTCTGTTATTATATGTTGATGAGATAATATTAATTGGCTCTAGTTTGTGAAGATACAAAGGGTGATTCCAGAGCTCTCTGAAGTTTTTGATTTAAAAGACATGGGCAAGCTCACATATTTCTTGGGATTACAGATTCAGTACAAGGATAATAGGGATATTTTTGTCAATCAGTCAAAGTACATCAAAGATTTAATACATAAAGCTGGTATGGAGACATGTAAACCAGCTCCAACACTTTGCAAACCTCATCATCAATTGCTAGTTTCAGAAGGTACTTTGTTGACATATTCAACTTTATATAGGAGTATAGTAGGCTCTTTGAAATATTTGACATTTAGTAGGCCAAATATTGCATATGCATTACTGTGCGTCAATTCATATCATCACCAATTGAGTTTCATTTTGGGGCTGTAAAAAGGATTCTAAGATACTTGCAAGAGACAATAACTACTGCAATTTTGTATTCTACAAATACATGTTCTCAGTTAAGTGTTTTCTCAAATTCTGATTGGGCAGCTAACTTGAACACAAGATGGTTAATCACTAGTTATGTAGTGTTTTTAGGCAACAACCCTATCTCATGGCAATCTAAAAAGCAAACATCAGTGTCGCAAATTTCCACAGAGGCCGAGTATAAAGCCTTAGCTCACACTGTTGCTGATATAGCTTGGGTGAGGAACATACTGAAGGATTTGGGAGTATTTTTGTCTAATTCACCAAGTATTCATTGTGATAATATGTCTGCTATTACCCTTAATGCCAATCCAGTATTCCATTCAAGAATCAAGCATTTAGACATTGACTATCACTTTGTAAGGGAACATGTACAACACGGAGATTTGGAGGTCTTGTATATTTCCATTGAAGATCAAATAGCAAATATATTGATAAAAGGTTTACACAATCCTTCTTTTGTTAAACATTTTTACAATCTCAAGCTAGGAAATCCCTAGTTGAGATTGAGGGAGGATATTGAATGTAATAGAATCAGCATGTTAGTGATGAGTGTCATGTCAGCAAGGTTGTTAAGTAAGTTTGTTAGAATTTGGTTGTGTTAGTTAGATTAGTAGCTTGGCTGCTAAGTTTTCGTAGCTCTATATAACAACCAAAACTGTGCAAATGTAATACTGAAATTCATCAATACAAAAGATTTCATTTCTCTCTCTAGTTTTCTCTCAATTGTTCTTTAGTTTTTCTCTCTACTTTTCTGGGTTTTCTGCATAATTGCATAATTGTTATCAATGATCACATCCAAAGGTCTTGCAACATTTTCCTTAACTCCCATGCAAAATATTTCCCTAAAGTCTTGCTCAGTGGGTGCAAAAAGATGCAATCGCCGAGCATACAAAACGAGGCGGGTTCGGTGCATGAAAAATGCGACACGCAAAATGAGACGGACTACGCGCGCACAGAAAATGAGACAAACTCTACTCATAGAAAACTAAACGGGTTCGGTCATGCTAAACAAGATGATGTCGGTGCACGAAAAATGTGACTTGCAGAACAAGGCACACTCTGCTCGAGCAATCGAGATGGGCTCTCTACACACAGAAAACAAGACAGACTTCTGTGCATGCAAAACGAGTCAGGCTCGGCGCACGAAAATTTAGGATGAAAAACGAGGCAAGCTCAATGTACGATCTTGCATGTATCTATTCGATTTTTTAAATCATTATCGTACATAATTTTGTATTTAGTCATTTTGGAAAAAAGGATTGAAACTTGAATGGGATGAAGAAATCGATGTTGACCCGTTGAAACTCCCTATCTCTAGGCCTAATTAAACACATTATACAAATACGAGCTTACACGTCGATAGTTATGCCAAGGACGTGTACCGTAAAGATTGACTTTTGGAGGCACACATCCATCCATCGTTCCCTGTCGTCAGCCCCAACTTGGTGGTTGGGGTGTTGTAGATAAGCCATGCACCCTCCCTTACAATTGTAAATTTTTAACAAATTTTTTAGTAATCTTGCATTTTTAAGTGTTAAGGAAAGTCCATCATCAATTAAAGACAACATTAGCTTGTTCGCTAAGTTTAAAACATATGCATGCAGTTTCCTGCAACAAAGTCTAGCCCACGCCCCGTTGAATAAGATATCTTTCTTTTCAATAATCGTGAGTTTAAACCTCATCTTATCCCTTAATGTAAATTAGAATTGTATAATATTGTTTGTAATAAATAAATTAAAAAAAAAAAAAAATATATATATATATATATATATATATAAAACCTAACCCACCCGAACTAATTTTTATACCAATGGTGGTAAAACTTAAAACCACTCTACAATCTGATCAATTTCCCCATCACTTTCTCTCCCTTTTTCTTATCGACCCATGTATAAATGTATTATGTATATCTATCTCTCCTCCACACTCGTTACTCTCTCTCTGTTTCACACTCTCAAATCTCATCCGTTTCCCTCTATAAGACGCATCCTCGCCACTCATATCTCCGCCCAACTCATGCAGTCATATCACGCTCCTCAAGTTTCTCAAGCTGGGCGCGTTATCATGGAACTGAATTATCAAAACTTGTCCTCTCCCTGAGGCTTTATTCAAGGAACTAGTAAAAGGAAAAATAAAAAAGAAGGGTAAATTTTAATCGCAGTATATTGCATATTCTACCAAATATATTATGTGGCATAAGTTGGGCATAAAGCCCCAGTTTCTCCCATGCATGTCCTTAAAAAACAAAGATGTGAACGATAGTAATCAAACAACAGGTTTTTTTTTTTTTTTTTTTTATTTTGCATGTACTTAATTTGGTAATTAAGACAAAACGTGGCATCCTGAGTCGTACGTAGTAGTGCATTGAAAAAGATGCCCCTAACCACTAAAGTAATTTACCACGCAAAACAAACAACATTCTTTGGGTTAAAAAAACCTGTGGCAATTGTGAAAGGTGAATTAGGCCGTTAGGTTGGTTTGATGGTTAGGATTAATTTCTTTTGCATGCAGCACAGGGTTTTATGGACAATTGCGTTAGATGTGTGAAGACAAATATATATATATATATATATGTATGTATGTATGTATGTATATGTATGTATGTGTATATATATGTATATAGATATAGATATAGATATAGATATCGCTGCCTAAAGTTCTCAACAGCCCGTCAAGCCTTAAAATTAAGGACACCAATAAATAATAATCCACACTTTCAAAGGTCAACACCTGCATGCCCCAAATGGCAAAAAAAAAAAGGGTAAAGTTAAAGAAACTAAATTTGTAGATTAAATTAACAAATTAAATGAGATGTTATCAATAGAAAATAAGCACATTTATCAACGATTAAATAATAATTCAATCACTAACTTTCATGTTATTTAGTTTACAAAATATAGTTTATAAATTTAATTTTTCTAGCATTACACGACAAAAAAAGACGAATTAGATATTAACAGTTCTTGGTTTGTAACCCCTTCGGTATTACCACTAAGAGAGCACTGCATGAATCTTTATTGAACATGTCAAGAATTTGATTCTCCTCATGTAACAAAATTATCAACATCTAGTACACAATAAGCAACGAATATATCTATGTGTCATGTCAATTAATTGGCAAGAGCCACATTGTCGAATCATAGCACATATTCTTACAGTTATTCTGTTGCTAAATCCATATGAACAAAAACTGATGTAATACATATACAAGAGGTCAGGTAATCCCCAGCCCTTTTATATGAAGCATCTCCATTTTTATGGAAGAAAAATGAAAAAGGATTGCATCTTGGACCATCCCTCAAAGATTCCTGTGATCCAAATCGCTCATATGTTTCTTGAGTAACTTATGCAATGATGACTCTTACAAAATAATCAACCATAATGAAAATCATTTTTTATTAAACTCTGATCAAACAAAACAACACAATGATAATTCAATTTAATTTATGCTAAAATTATTTAGACAGAGAAAATTGACACATTTACTCACTCTCTAATACAAAAGAGTCATATGTCATTATATGAGTCTTTCTTATATCGGAGAATGTGTCTGTTTTGTATGTTCAAATAATATAACCCATTTATTTATTCTTTTTTAGAAGTAATTCTTACATGAAAACTACAAAATAGACAGTTTGGATTTAGATCCCAATTAGGTTATGCAAAAATCTTGGCGTGTATTTTCTTCGGTTCTTTAACATTTTCTTGCATGCTATTGACTCTTAATTAGGCTATGCAAACATCATACCAATCGCGAAATTACCAAGCATCGGTCAATTTTATACCTTCAGAGACCCACTTAAGGATTTGTACTGAGGCACCTATGTCAAAGCATAAGGGTTTCTCTCCAAGCATGAGGCCAATCACAACAAGACATAGTCAATGTTATTATAAAGCTCCTAGAGTCCACATCTACAACAGACGAAAGCCGAAGACTCTCCTCAACAATAAAAAGAGATCATCCTCCTACAATTAATCCCTAATGCCATTATTGTACTTAAATCACTATTAGAACCCACTAATGATGATTATGCTTAAACCATTGTATCATGTAAACTCTTCACTTTTAATGCTCCTCTACCTTGGGTATAGCCCAACTTAGGGAAAATCATGTACATCTTGTGTATGCTTTTCTATCTCTATCTCTTTACATATTATCATCTATATATTTGCTATATGGCTGACAGATTGTACTGCTGTATGACGGGAAATAAGCAGCACCCTGATTTGGTGTTAATTAAAGATGGTATTCACCAATTCCCCTTTTTTTTTTCTTTTTTTTTTTCTTTTTTTTTTTTTTTCTGGAAGCACCAAATAGTCTTCGCGTACCTAATTTACACATGCTAACAAGAAGCGATAATGTCCGTCTAGGGTTATTCATAATCATAACTATCATTAACAAAGGAAAATACTGATATGTCCGTCTAGGGTTATTTCATAATCATAACTATCATTAACAAAATACTTATAAATTAGTATTTTGCGAAGAGAATAAAAAGAGATTTTTGGAAATGAAAAGACTAAATTGAGCAACAAAAATATGTATGTTCAATTGTTCATAACTTGATAGATAGCTATACTACTATAAACATAACATATGATCATATGTACTCCCCTAGCTAGTCATCTGAAGTCAATTTTTTCGCCTTCCAGGATAAAATTACAATCACGATTGATGATTGTTGTGCACCTGTCTCATTCATCATTTTATTGACTTAGAGATTAATTTGCAGTACTTGATCGTCTCCAACTTATTGAATATGCTACATCCAAGAATTTATCTATCTACATTATACAGAGGAATTCTAGCAGCTACATGAAGTGTTTGGTCCTTCTTTACCTCCATGTTATAAATTAGTCAATAATCTGGCTAGCTCTTTGTCAATACTAAATCACAACTCTTGATCCGCAACCAGACAATCATTCCTCATTTTTTCCCGGCCAGAAAGATCAGCTACCTTGCCAGAGAGTAATTATATATACCTCCTTGATCACACTATAATATGTATTATCTGAAAAGCACAAGGGTAGGCAAATGCTGGAGTTTTGTTTCGATTTCTCTAGCAGTAGTGTTCGACCCCTTGATAAGCTTTGGCATCCCTTCCTCAACGTGAAGTGAAGGTTCAGGAAATGCAATGGTGAGATCAAGATTCAAGTCACGAGGTGATGGACCAGATGTTTCATCTTCAAGAATACTCGCAGCTTCCGAGGCCTTATGATCAATTTGATCATCTGAGGATTTCAATGGTATTTTAGTACATGCATTAATATTGCTCATTGACCCAGATGATGTTGCAGCAGGTGAAACGCAATCGTTTTGCGGATTTGGACGAGGAATAATCTGGTTTAGCCTATGGTTATTTGGATCAATACCCATTTTTATTAGCTTCTTCCGGATGTGAGAATTCCAATAGTTCTTAACCTCATTGTCCGTCCTACCGGGCAGCCTTCCAGCAATCAGCGACCACCTAACAGCCCATGCATGAAATGTAACGTTACACCATTAGGTGTACATATATATATAGTTGACCCTTATAATCACGCGCTAAAAGTTAATTAATACATGCGAATATAAGTCATATACACAATTTTTTTCAGTTGAACAATCTATATACATACATTATATATGCAGGAAATGTTCTTGCCAGACAATCTCACCAACATAAAGACACGTGTTGTCAGATATCCGGCAAGAGAGAACGAGAGGATGGAGATGATTGGTACTTACCGGTTGCCAAGGAGGGCATGTAGTTTGATGATGAGGTCTTCTTCATCTTGCTCAAAGTTACCACGTTTGATGTCTGGCCTTAAATAGTTTATCCATCTTAGCCTGCAACTTTTGCCACACCTGTGCAACCCTAATATATTCACAATATCAAAGCCATTTATAAGTTCATGATTAGGAAGAAAAAGTAGTTTTACATACAGACATAAAAATGCACATAATCGCACGACGGTTGTTCAAATGGGAACCCACCTGCAGCCTTGGGGAGAGATCGCCAGCAGCCTTCCCCATGAGTCTTAATGTAATCAATGAGTTTTTGGTCTTCTTGTTTAGACCAAGCTCCTTTGTTTGTGCCTTCTTTTTCACAGCAAGGTTTTCTCATTCTGCACAAGAGAGAGAGAGAGAGAGAGAGAGAGAGAGAGAGAGAGAGAGAGATAGAGGAGAAGAGGGAGAGAAAGGCCCAGGTAATGGCAGAAGATGAGCGTAGATATAGTAGTCGATCGATGAGGGAGGTGGGAGTTACAAAAGGTTGACTTGGACTGGTGGTTTTGGCTTTTTAGGTGGGTCTCACTCACGAAGTCATTCGGATTGGAAGAAGATAAGGTCGTGTGTGTGTTCCTGTAGACCTAATAGTTAGTTGTTTACCGTTAAGTATACGTCACTTTCCATTCCACATGTTTCTGTAAATCCTAGTGATCTTAATTTACGAAAAGCATTTGTTCTTAATCAATCTTTTCAAATTTTCTTCGAGATTATTATATTATATATATTCTGTTCGTCCAGAAGATTCATCTGCAATGATACAGATGTGTGATTGAACTTATAATTAAGGATATTATTGTTGGTATTATAGAGGGGAAAAAGGTATCCAATTATTGTCTATAGAGGGGAAAAAGGTATCCAATTATTGTCTCTGAATATCATACTATTTATATATACATATAATGTTACATATACAAAAATAATAATGAACATTAAATGATGATAAAAAAAAAGGCAGATAAGAACCTTTTTATTTCACTGATTTTGGTATCCCTCAATGATATTGCGAACTGGATCCTAGATTGTGCCTCCGAAATAGTCTTATTTTGAGAACGTCCTTGAGTGCTATACGCTGGGAATGAGCCAAGCCAAATTGCTAGACATGGAAAGAAAAATCGACGCAAGCCAACCCACTAAGGCAAAGAGAAAGCCGCAATTCAAGAAGGATAATTTTGGAGAGACTAAATTTGTAGATAAAATTTGTAAACAAAATTTGCATACTAAATGATTTGTTACTAATAAGAATGAGTACGTTTATCAACACTTAAGTAATAACTCAATCGTCAACTTTCTTGTCATTTAATTTACAAATTTAGTCTCTCTAGCATTACCCATTCAAGAAATGTGAACTTTATTTGTCTTTCCTTGATTATCATAAGAGTTTTATATAGCTAATGGTACAATAATACCTTTGGTTTAATTTATGATCTCCATTATGAAGCCACAAAACCCTAAATTCGAAAACTAGAACTTGACACACCTAAAACAAAAGGGTGCATAAAATAGAGAGCATAATAGGAGATGCTCTTAAACTCGACAATTGATAAGTTTGATAATTAATGTGAGTTCCATTCTTTATAAATTCTAATATGGGTTTAAACTAGAAAGTATACCACATTTATATGAGGCACATAATTTTTTTTTTTTTTTGCAAGGCTGTCTTTCAAAAGATTAAAACTTGAATATAAAAGACCAGAGCCAATTAGTCAAATTCAGATCTTCATTACCCATCGGTGTCGATGCACAAAAATTGATCAACGATAAATGGGCAAAACCCACTAGAGTCTTAAGTGAGTCGGTGCATGCCCAAGTGCCTTTAGTTTTCTTCTACTTTGAAGTGGTAAAGTTTTGACAACCTAAAACAGAAGTGGTAAAATATCCTTTTTTCATTTTCGTCTCAAACTTCATTGTCATTGACAGTTCAGTGACCCTAATATTGTATCCATTGGAGTGTATGTGGTTGTCTCCCTTTTTTTTCAAAGGAAAAAACCTCTACGACAATCAATGTCAATATAATCGAATAAAAGAGCATTAGAGGCCATATTTGGAATACTTCTATTTCAAATATACATGTTTTGGTAAGAATGACTAGCATTCACGATAACATCAACTACAAAATTAGTTTCTCTAAAATTAGAACTCCACTGAATATAAACAAAGGAGGAAGTCAGCCACCGAATCAATGATTGGTCTAAGTCTCCAAAAAACACCACAAAAGCCCTGAACCGCATCAAGTTTGGAATCACCCTCCATACAAATCCGAAGGAAACCCTTCTGTTTAGAACACTTAAGAGTTTCCATTAAAGCCAAAGCCTTTGCCACAAGGATAGTTACTTCACCAAAGTTCAAAGCACCAGCAATGATAAGCTGGCCAATACCATCTCTTATCACAAAACCAGCAGCCGCATTATTCCCTACCACACATCCATCAAAGTTAATCTTCACAAAAGGGGCCTCCGGCGGATGCCATTTGGTCAGCTCATTAGACTTAACAATCTTCCTCTTACTATCCTTGGCAGCACTTACATTTGAGTTTACATTTTGATGGTGATCTGGAGCTAACCTCCAAACATACTTAGCATAATTGTTGATTTTTTTTTTTTTTTTTTTTTAATAAAAGTATCATTTTGGTGTTAATCTGATATATATACCACAAAAAGCGCATTTACTATTCAAATCTTTGATAAATCTATCAGGATGTTTTCTTGTTTGAAGTGTCTCCTTAATTAACAACCAACTAAACATTTTCACGTCTTTTTCTTTAACATGTGTACGATTTTTTGCATTAGTACATTAGGATACCAACAACTTTTTATATTTTCTAATTTTTGTCAACCCAGCAAAGTGTCATCTCTGTTTCAACCCAAAAGTTTACTCATGGAAATAGTTTTTAATCATAAATAATCGGAATTAAAAACCATTTTTAATAATATTGTAAAAATCTTGAAATAGGATTATACTTTTGGTCACTTAAAATTACGATCTAGTAATATTCTTGTTTACTTGTAAGCGAGAAGTCTTAAATTTGATTATAGGAAAGTTCAAACTAAATTATTATAACTTACGCATTGTGTGACTTAGCCAAAATCCTCCATAGTTTAGCCCAAAATATATCGTTAATTTCATAAATAGGATTATACTTGCTAAATTCGTTAATAAAAACCTCAATAATGTTAAAAAAAATTTACTTCAATACAACGGTCAATGATGAATAAGGTACCTCGTACAAAGAAAATATAATAGGGTGTCAACTACAACAAGAGATTCTTGAGTCCGTGCAACCATCCCCACCGTGTCTTAGGCCGGACACCACGTGGTCCAGCCCTCTTGCTCGAAAATTTCTCAAGCCTCGAAACATGGTCTTATTGAAAGCCGAGACGAAGTTTCGGGTGAGCCAATAATAGAGAACTAAATAGTCTGCTCAGGTTCAATTACAAGCAACAATCTTTTTCAATTTAGTCACTACTTTTTACATTCAGTAAAACTTAAGACCTACCATTCTCCCAAATTCCCCATATTCATCCACAGGCAAGGGTCAACGAACAAATTCAACAACCATTTTAAATGTTCACTTTCTCCTATTTTTCGATGCTCACCTACACAGAATTTGACAGCAGAGAAAATTTTCCCTTTCGACATATCGATCTAGCTTTTACTAGGTATATAAGTTTCTGACAAGAGAATACTGTTGTATACAGATATATTTTAAAGTGAAAGAATCCAACCGAAAGAGGATTTAAGACACCAACACCTGCCAGATATTTTTAAGTGAAACAATCCAAGCGAGATTTCAGTTTTACAGGTTGGATATAATCATAAGTTTATCTCTCTCAGCGAGTGACTAAGGCCGTTTTTCTCCCAACTACAACAAAGCATTTTCTCACTAAATGGGGTTGGTTATATGAATCCTAGAACGTCATTGCGCTCGGTTCTGTGTCATGTCTTCTATTAGATTCAAGTATTCTAAGTCTTTTCTTAGAGTCTCTTCCAAAGTCTTCCTCTACCCCTTCGACCCTGAACCTCTGTCCCATAATCACATCTTCTAACCGAAGGATCAGTAGGTCATCGTTTCACATGTCCAAACCAATGTAACCGATTTTCTCTCATCTTTCCTTTAATTTCGGCTACTCCTACTTTATCTCGGATATCCTTATTCCTAATATTATCCTTTCTCATGTGCCTACACATCCAACGAAGCATTCTCATCTCCGCTACACCCATTTTTTGTACGTGTTGATGCTTCACCGCCCAACATTTTCTGCCATAAAGCATTGCTGGCCTTATTGCCGTCCTATAAAAGATTTCCTTGAGCTTTAATGGCATACGACGGTCACACAACACGCCAGATGCACTCTTCCACTTCATCCATCCAGCTTGTATTCTATGATTGAGGTCTCCATCCTAACTCTCCATTCTTTTGCAAGATAGATCCTAGGTAGTGAAAGTTGTCGCTCTTTGGTACTTCCTGATCTCCAATCCTCACCCCTAACTCATTTGAGCCTCCATTTGCATTGAACTTGCACTCCATATACTCTATCTTTGACCGACTTAGGCGAAGACCTTTAAATTCCAACACTTCTTTCCAAAGGTTAAGCTTCACATTTACTCATTCCTGAGTTTCATCTATCAACACTATATCATCTGTGAAAAGCATACACCAAGGGATATCATCCTGAATATATCCCGTTAACTCATCCATTACCAATGCAAAAAGATAAGGACTTAAAGATGAGCCTTGATGTAACCCTACAGTTATGGGGAAGCTTTCGGTTTGTCTTTCAAGAGTTCTTACAGTAGTCCTTACTCCATCATACATATCCTTTATAGCTTGGATATATGCTACTCGTACTCATTTCTTCTTTAAAATCCTCCAAAGAATGTCTCTCAGGACCCTATCATACGCTTTTTTCAAATTTATAAAGACCATGCGCAAATCCTTTTTCATATCTTCATGTCTTTCCATCAACCTTCGTAAGAGATAGATTGCCTCCATGGTTGAGTGCCCTAGCATGAACCCGAATTGGTTGTCCGAGACTCGTGTCTCTTGCCTCAGTCTATGCTCAATTACTCTCTCCCAGAGCTTCATTGTGTGACTCATTAACTTAATACCCCTATAGTTCATGCAATTTTGTACGTCGCCCTTATTCTTGTAGATAGGCACCAAAGTGCTCTTTCGCCACTCGTTTGGCATCTTCTTCGTTTTCAAAATCCTATTGAAAAGGTCTGTGAGCCATGCTATACCCGTCTCTCCCAAGACTTTCCACACTTCGATCAATATATCATCTGGGCCCACTACTTTTCTATGCTTCATCTTTTTCAATGCTATAAAGACTTCTTCCTTCCTAATTCGGCAGTAAAAGGAATAGTTTCTACACTCTTCTGAGTTACTCAACTCCCCCAAAGAAGTACTCATTTCATGTCCTTCATTGAAAAGATTATGAAAATAACATCTCCATCTGCCCTTGACCGCGTTCTCTGTAATAAGAACCTTTCCATTCTTATCCTTGATGCACCTCACTTGGTTTAGGTCCCTTGTCTTCTTTTCCCTTGCTCTAGCTAGTTTATAGATATCCAACTCTCCTTCTTTGGTATCTAGTCTCTTATACATATCGTCAAAAGTCGCTAGCTTAGCTTCTCTCACAGCGCTTTCTTCGCCTCCTTCTTCACTATTCTATACCTTTCATCGTTTTCATCGGTCTTATCCTTGTATAAGGCTTTACAACATTCCCACTTAGCCTTAACCTTTGTCTGTACCTCCTCCTTTCACCACCAAGATTCATTTTGGTGTGGAGCAAATCCCTTGGACTCTCCTAATACCCTTTTTGCTACTTTTCGAATACAACTAGCCATGGAATCCCACATTTGGCTAGCTTTCCCCTCTCTATCCCAAACAAATTGGGTGATTACTTTCTCTTTAAAAATGGCTTGTTTTTCTCCTTTTAGATTCCACCATCTAATCCTTAGGCACTTCAAGGTCTTGTTCTTTTTTCTCTCTCTTTTGATATGTACATCCATCACCAACAAACGATGTTGATTAGCCAAGCTCTCTCCCGATATAACTTTGCAATCCTTATTAATTATATGATCCCCCTTCCTCATTAGAAAAAAAATCTATTTGTGTTTTTGACGACCCGCTCTTGTAGGTGATCACATGTTCTTTTCTCTTCTTAAAGAAGGTGTTGGCTAAAAAGAGATCGTATGCCATTGCAATATCCAAGATGGCTTCCCCATCCTCGTTTCTCTCCCCAAAACCATGGTCATCATGAAAACATCCATAGTTGCCTGTCTCCTTGCCCACGTGTCTATTTAAATCTCCTCCTATAAATACATTCTCTGTCTGAGCGATTCAGAAACTTGGTGCAAGGAATCACTCCTAGTCTGTATTTGCTAAAATCTTTGCATAAAACATTGAATTTGTAACGAAATTGCACAAATTAGCTCATGGGTATTACTAAAATGGCACTATGATGAGGAAGTTAGTATATAATTCATGATGTGTTTCCTGGAATACATTTTTTTTCTCATGGCCACCACCTGTATGATGAAAGTCCTTTACAGGGTGCAGGATCGAAAACCATCATAGAGTCGGAACAAAATAAATAATAAATAAAAATAAGAGAGTCAGTGCCATTGATCAATTGAATGCTATATTCAAATGTTTTAGTTTAATAAAGTGATAGGATCCAAATCTCTAACCCCTTAATCAACCTGCAAGTCACAGAGGATAAAGAGGGAGATGGAAGGAAGCAAGAAAGAGCAGAGCTCTTGAATTGTTTTTTGGTTTTGTATTTCTGTTTGTAAATTCTGATCTGATTACAATAGTGAAAACTAGTGCTCTTATACAAGTCACAACTCATCATGCCAGCTGGCTAATTATAATGAACTTCACTAAAACAAGAATAAGCCTAATAATCCCAAGATTAAAACCTTTAATAGTGATTAAGCTAATCACTAATTACAGATCATATCATTACTCCCCCCCTTAAAGAACAACCTTGTCCTCAAGGTTAAAAAAAGAACTTGCTTTTTTTCTGCAATGGTTCATTGGGGTAGTGATTGTTCTGCACTTTGAATTTGACAAAATTGTGAGCATCTAACTCCATTAGCTGTAATTCAATTTGTGTGTCGGTTATGGACTCCAAATCCTCATCAGCAGTATACATTATTGCCAACCTGAGCAGTTGATACCGATTGCACACAAAATTCAGAGATCCTTGAACGAAGACAAGTGTAGACATAGCAGTTTCCAATGAAGCAGTCTGGGTGGTATAAGTCTCTTCTGCGATTTGATACATAGTGGCAGCCTTTCCCAGCTTATATGTTACATAATGCTTAGTGTCCAATCTCTCCATTATAGGCATTATAGGATCTACATCCATATATGAGTAGTCTGAATAAACAATGATTTCATAAAACTGAGCAGGATGTTCCAAGAAGGCATAAACTCTATCTTTTTTGATAGTCTGCCAGCCCTTTTCTCGCATCCTAAAATAGTGCAGTAATACCTTCTGGAAATCTAGTACGGGGGAAAAAACATGTTTCTTCATGGAATGCAAATCTGGAAGAAGCTTCTCTGCGTATGGTTCAGTATAACCTTGAATTTGTTCTACAATCGTTCTCTCAGTCTCCATGCCGAGAGGCTTAGCACACAACAACCAATTGGCGCATTCCATATTTTTATTCTCTAAATCACTTGGTTGATGTTCTCCCCTCCACTGTTCAACTCTATTTTTTTTTAAACCACTAAATCCACAACATCAGTGACAAATATGTAGGAATCTATGGGTATTATCTTCGATAAGACTCCATCTTCTTTGGAAAATACTCAGCTTTCATCTTAGAGACCATCTGAAAAAGCAAGTCATTGGAAACGACAAGAAATAAGTACACCATATCAAGGGGTTCTTGTTGCTGCAGATCTTCTGAATCTGTTATGTACTTCAGACACAAGTGTGCAAGCATCTAATCCTGCAGGCGTTGAGGCAGGTGATAATATTTGACATCGAAGTCACTTGGCACACCATTTGCAGTGGCCTGTAAATTTGCAATAACGACATTGGAATCCTTTTCATATGAGACAACAACTTCATCCAAAATTGGAACAAGCTTCTTGCAATGTCCACAACAAGGAGCATAGAACTCCAGCAACACATATTTTCCATACTTGATGTCCTCCTGGATGCTGTCAGTGACTACGACCTTGAGATCTCCAATGAGAAAGCTTATGTCTTCTTTCTTATATTTCTTAGCAACTTCACGATATGTGGATTTGAAAGCATCAGAAGACTCACTAGCGAAGTTCAAAAACAACATAGCCTTCTTATTTGGATTGTTAAAGAGTTCAACCCCATCATCATCCAACATTGTATCTACCACATTAAGCGCCTTATCGAGTTTCCCAGCATCAGTCAACGTCTTTATTATAAACTGATAGCTCGGAATGTCCCTAGTGATTTTTTTCACCGTCAACAAAACATAGGTAAACTCATCCAAATTGACTCCCTTGTCAAGCATTTCTCCATAAACATCCTTATACTTGCAAGCTAATAACATGGCTGTCACACCAACCAATTGAAACTTCTTTCTGATCACCATTTGGCGCTCTAAGAACCTGTCTATAAGGTTTACGGTAAGGAATTGTGTCTCAACCACAAACTTAAACTTGTAGTGGACCTTAATAAGCCAGTCAATGAGAATCTCCCTCATTTTCTTCTTGATGTCAGGTTGGTGAGCCATGTAGTTTGGGGAGACAGAGCTTGACTTCACTTGAGCTTTTAAAATGGACACTTGAGTTTTTTGATATGGGAAATACCACTGAGACCTTGCCGCCATAACAGCCTCTGATGTAGCCCAGGAAAATTCAATGAAAGCCACTGTTGCTCAAAGTCCCTTTTATTGTGTTCTACCACAAGCCAAGACTCCAAAGCTGAAAAAAATTAAAGAAGTAGCATTGCCTCCCCATAGAACAACTTTGATATCCTTTTCCCACAAGAATTCAATCTCCAGTATGTAGTTTGTAATGGTTGATGCATTCCAAAAAGACTTGAGCATCTACTATGAAGTGGCAATGTGCAACTCCAAATTTCCATGAGTAGTCAAGTGAAAGGTTTTAGGCAACATGAAATTGAAGAGAGTTCCCTTATTGTTCAGTGCCTCTTGGCATGCATTGTACCATTCTACCATAGCAGTGTTGTTAGTTACAGACCACACAAACTTTGCCATTGGATGTTTCTCACACAAAGGTCTCTTGGACATTTCCTCGAACAGTTCTAATGCATAAAAAAATTTCTTCACAAATTTTCCCACAATATACCAATTAACCCATCCACATTTATCAATAAAAAAGTCTTCACACATGATCGCAATGACACCAGTATAATATGCCAGAATAAACTGCAAAATCCAATACCATTTGTTCTTCCGATTTTGTAAAATTGGAAAGCAAGGATGTCAGGTGTTCGTATATGTTGAGGGCAGCATACAGAGGCATAGAATTTGCAATTTGAAGCTCTTGTGATCTTCACACCTGACACACCCCGACCGAGATCAGGGCGTGCTGGCCGTCACACGAAGGTGACGTAACCATGTGCACGTGCGGAAGCTAATAAGATAGTAATATAAAAAGTACGAATAATTAAAAACTAGCATACAAAGTAGTAAAAACAAGTGCTAGCGTGTGAGGCACAAATTCAGAGCAAGTCTACAGCAGTCCAAAAGAGAATGACTCGACAAAAGTACACCCGAAGGTGACCCTACGTTGGTGACTGTCTGTCAGAAAAGCCGGAAGAACCCTCTGGGAAACCACCGAACCTGCTACTCAACTAGAACCTGGAGGGGCGCAAAACAAAAGCGTGAGTGGGCAAAAACAAAGTTTTTCGAAAACCATTTATAAATACTTTCTAACCCCTCGCCGTAAAACCTGTATACTTCTCAGAAAATAGATATACGTATATATATACGAAACATGCTCAAGAATATGCCAAACGTGCTCTATAATATGCCATGCCAAAATCTCATAATGATATGCAAGTGCTCAGGTATAATCATATCAATATCAAGTAATCTGGCAGCCGGAGTCACCTAACGTGACCTGTACGGCTGCATCTAGAGCTCAAATCTCAAAATCAATAACTGAACCTGCCCACGAGTCGGAACCACCTAAAGTGGTCTGTACGACAGGCCTGGGTGTAATACATGTATACGCTCTAGTGCTACGATCACGTGAAGGCTGTGCGAATAATCGCGGGTCACCTACGAGTCGGAACCACCTATAGTGGTCTGTACGACAGGACTGTGCACCTAACTTGGATCCAAGATGAGCGTGTGGTGCGGGAGGTGAACATCACGTGAAGGACTGTGCCCTACTCTGGGCGGGAGCACTAACACCGGGGGTGCAGGTTATGGGCTCTCAAAGCATCTCAAACCACTACTGAAACATAAACGTGAATAACACTTACCTAGCACTTACCTGTGCGTCCACAGCACCCAATATGCATATGTATATATATATGCAAATAATAATGTACTCACAGTGCACAACCAACGATAATGTATGCATGGCATATAACTAATAAACATTTAAATCATTTATGGGAAAATATAGTATATAGGTATATACGGAAAACCAAAAGCCCACTCACTGGTATGTGGAAGGGTCGTAGCCCCCCTGCCTCGAGTGCGCACGCTCGTCCTTAGGGTACGTATCATCTATATGCGAATTAACTATAAAAACGTCAATTTTAAAGCACATAACCAACTTCTCGTAATAACTTCTCATACAATGCTCAAATTGGACAATTGAATATACCAACGTGACCTACACAACCTCAGGATCACAACCATATTTTTAGAAAAAATTTCCACCGCCGCACGCGCCCCCACGCGCCGGCCACGCACAGGCATGTGCCTGGCACGCTGACGGCGTCAACTGACGCCGTTAGGAATATTCCGTCAGTTTTGACAGATTCCGTTAACGGCGTTAGGAATATTCCGTCAGACTTGACGGAATATTCCGTCACCTTCTCCGGCGAACCTCCGGCAAGGCTCCGACGCCATCGCCGGCGCCGGAAAACTGGAAAACCTGTAAATCATGATTTCTCACTCATTTTTCAACCGTTTTTCGTGATTTTTGCACCAAATTGAAGCCTAGAACTAGTAGAACAAATCCAAACAAGTTTTGAGGGCTAAAAACCACAAGATCATACCTGTCCACACAAACCAAAAATCGGCCAAATTCAAAACCCACGATTTCGACGTCCAATTTCGTCCAACGAGCTACTCTGAGGCTCCTTGGGACACCACCAAGCTACCTACGAGCTTCAAAAACCCAAAAACTTACTAAAACACGTTTGCATGAATAGTACCCCAAACGGAGCTCCTCGAATCGACGTGAAAACGTTAGGATTCTCACCTCAAAATGGTATAGTTGTACTCCTCTCAGAATGGTATAGTTGGTTCCTTCGATCTGTTGAGATTTGAGGGGTTTTGGGTTCGTCCATACAGTTTCAAGGGAAAAGGAAGGGATAGCAGCACAGGAGAGGGAGATAGAGAGTGACAGGGAAAATGAGAGTGTGAGTGTGTGTGGCCCAACACATGCCAACACCACACAAACGACAAATAACCAAAAACATGACGAAAACGAACTAGGGGCAAAGTTGTAATTTCACACGTACGTTAACATGAATTTTGGGACGGGATGTCACAACACCCCTCAATGTGGGTGGTAACATTGGCGTCCTGGTCTGCCAGTTGAGATAAGGCCTCAGTTTTGCCAACGATTACTGAAAATGGGAACGACATTATGGTCACCATCGCAATAAGCATGGGTTTCTCAAAATGTTGCAGTGGAATTGTGGCTACCACAGACTCTTTTAATTGGGGCTTGACCGGAGAACTTGCAAGTGCTCTCAACATCGGTGACGATAAGAGCAATGGCGGAATGGAATGGTCGTGGATTGTTGATGGAATTCGCAATAGGTTGCCGTCTCCATCGTGCGTCTCAAGTTTTTGAAGTTTCTGGTGACCTACCTCGATCGATTCAGCTTCCTTAGAACACATTGAGGCTGGATCAGAATCTCCCTCGACATCGAGAGCCAAGTCACGACGTAACTGAGCAAGGTCACTGCGGATTTCTGCGAGTACAGGATTCACAGCCTTGTGAATAACGGTGAGTGCAAAATCCATAGCTTCGCAGATCACATCACGGATTGCAGCATGCATCGAAGCTTCAAATGAGTCAATTGCAGCAGAAAGGCGTGCATCCATGGCAGGAAGACGGGTCGGGTGGGCATGCACAATAGGGAAACCAGGATTCGAGAAGGATGATACCATTGATAGGATCCAAATCTCTAACCCCTTAATCAACCTGAAGTCACAGAGGATAGAGAATGAGAGGGAAGGAAAAGAAAGAGAGCAGAACTCTTGAATTGTTTTTTGGTTTTGTATTTCTATTTGTAAATTCTGATCTGATTACAATAGTGAGAGCTAGTGCTCTTATACAAGTCACAACTCATCATGCCAGCTGGCTAATTATAACAAACTTCACTAAAATAGGAATAAGCCTAATAATCCCAAGATTAAAACCTTTAATAGTGATTAAGCTAATCACTAATTACAGATCATATTATAGAGAGAGAATATGAAGTACTTGAAGCTAACAGAAGACATGTTACAAAACCGAGCGCAATGGCATTTTAGGATTCGTACAACTGACCCATTTAGTGGGATAATTCTTGGTTGTTGTTGTTGTTGTACTAATAGAATAACTTGAAAACAAGGATGAACAATGGCGACAGTTTTTGTATTTTGTTTGTCTCCTGTTGATTTTGTGCATTGGAGATGAAGTATCGAAGCTGGGTTCGTCTGTATCATGTCCGTATACATTTATATCTGCGATCAGTCTTGCAAGACTTATACATTAGTGTTTGAATCGTCGGTTGGATTTATTGTGCGTATTTTTAAGAGGTTGTTATGCAGAACATTATTTTGTTTTTCTAATTCAAAACTTGGAATTTCCCCTTGTATTGGTATTTGGTTGTATCTGGAAGTCAGTTATTTATACAAGTTGTTGAACATTGCTAGGAACCTCCTCCTATTTGAGCGATTCAGAGACATGGTGCAAGGAATCGCTAAAACGGAGAAGATATTTATAGGAGGAGATTTATATGGACATGTGGGCAAGGAGACAGGCAACTATGGAGGTTTTCATGGTGGCCATGGTTTTGGGGAAGAGAAGAACATGTCCATATAAGAGCAGGTCATCAAAAACACAACACCAAAGCCTTTTCCTACTAAATGGGGTCGTCAAAAACACAAATATATTTTTTACTAATGAGGAAAGGGGGTCATATAATTTGTAAGGATTGCAAAGTTACACTGAAAGAGAGCTTGGCTAATCAACATCACTTGTTGGTGATGGATGTACATATCAAAAGAGAGAAATTGTAATGTCAGTGAAACAATCCAAAACACAAGTACCAGAGAGGTTTCATTCAACAGCTGGGGATTTATTATATTCTTGAGAAGGTTTTAATGCCTGCTAATAGGGATTGAACTCATGAAAGTACAAAATCAAGGCTACAAATAAACACAAATCTTAATATATTGCCAAGTTACATTGAAAAAAAAAAATACCCATCTCTTTAAGAAGCTGTGAGGAGTGAGGAGTGAGGGGTGAGGAGCACCAAGGTGGGGGCAGCGAAAGGTAAGTGATAAGATTAGGATGACCACGAAGCCCT